ACTTCTGTAGTGATACTGCCTCGGAAACCCAAGGAGGGGTCGCTGTGAGTCGGGTCTGACTCAACGGCACACAACAACAACACAACAAAATGTAGTGGATAGTTAAAAAATGATCATTATTATTGCTAATATTATTCCACCAACATTCTTTAAACGTTTTTCAGAATGCTAAGAATTTGCCATCCCTCCTTTCAATCTGTGGTCACATTTCTGTCTTTTGCTCTGGGGGTGGAGGGGAATCCTTTCTTCCTTCCCCCATCTCTCTCAGGTTACCTGTTTAGACACTGGGGAAGCAACCCACACAGGCCAGTGTGAGCCATTGTTTCACAATGCAGATGTTTCAACCCAGAAGGTGAGGCTCATCTCAGCTAGCAAGCCTTTTCTCCTCCTCTTGTGTTCAGGCAGTTTGAGACAGGAGGCCACTCTGGTTGCTTCTTTCCACTTCATCCAGAGGCAGAACCATGTTGAGCCACCTTGCCTTCCTCCTGGTTCTCCTGTTTCCTGGTAAGTTTCTGACTCCTTCCATGGAGCCATTGGGGAGAGACAGTGTGGCTTCCTGCTACCCCTGCCTCACCACTGTCTCCCTTGCAGCTGGTGGGTCAGTCATCAAGTTGGAGCAGCCGGCCTACATCCTCGGGCAGAAGGGCAGCTCGGTTGCCCTGCAGTGCTTGGTCCACTTTCAGGTCAGCTATATTCACTGGTACCGGAATCAAGAGGGCAAGGCCCCTGAGAGGCTCCTCCGACAGGCCATGTTCAAATCTGATGTACAGTGGGACTCAGTTTTGAAAGTGGACAAAATCACAGCCGTGGAGGCTGAAGATGGCAAAAGCTGCACCCTGTGGGTGCTCAAACTGGAGAAGAGTGATGAGGGCATGTACTACTGTGCTGCCTGGGACCAGCACAGCCTGGCATGTGCTCCCAGCCCCTGCACAAAAAGAACACTCAACCAGGCCTGGGGGCTTTCCACTGATCCTAGATGCCTTAGGGCTTTCCTGTAGAGTAGCAGTGGTTCAGTAGTAGAATTCTTGCCAATGTATCTCATGCACAGCCATCACTGATCTGTCATTGTAGGCTTGTGTGTTGCTCTGATGCTGAACAGGTTTCAGTGACACTTTGACACAAAGAAGAACTAGGAAGAAAGGCCTGGTGATCTACTTCCAATTTGATCACTATGGTCCAATTACAGCCTATCCTAGGTATGGTGCAGGACTGGGTACGGCATTTTGTTTCAGGGTCACCATTGAGTCTATAGCTAACAACAGATGAAACCCTATCTCTCAGCATTCCCACTCTGTCCTATACCCTCTCCTCCATTCCCACTACAAATAAAGGGATGATTACATACTTAATGGGCTCAGACTCAGGAACCTATCTAACTGGATGGAACCTTTTTAAAGATCATCTGGTTTAAACTTTCTTTAACATTTGGAGGATAACCTGTGCTGGTCAATACAGTAGCCACTAGCCACCAGTGGCCACTGAACATTTGAAATATAGCAAGTCCAATAGTCAAAGCTGAAATGTGCCAGAAGAATAACATACAAACCATATTTTGAAATTTTAGTATTAAAAAAAGAGTAAAATACTCATAATTAAATTTTATTTTGATTAAATATTGGAATGATAATATTTGAGATATATTTCATTAAATAAAAATATCATTCAAACTAATTTCACCTGTTACTTTTTTTTTTAATGTGGCAAGTGGAAAACTTACTTTGAGACTGACATTTATTCCTATTGAATAGTTTCTGTTATAGACAATTTAAGAATCAGACCATCTCCCCTGAATAATGCACAAAGTATTTTGCAAGTGATTTCAAGGTTGACTTGATGAGCTGAAGATTTATCACAAAGTGGTTGAAAGGCCCAGAATGGAAGCCAGCTCTGAATTCCAGGTTCTGTATTCTTGTCCCTCCATGGTCATTTTACAGTGGAGGTGGTGGCAATTCTAAGCACAAGGAACAGTGTTGCCAACTCCTCAGTACTGTCATCCACTGAGCATGTCTGACCCTTGAACAGAAATTGGTAGGTAATGATCTCATGGCAGGGCAATGAAATAACCCTGGAGCAGATACCAGACATGTGACTGTTTGCCTTTAGCTTTTCCAGGATCACACCGTGATGTGAGACTCCAAGAGGTGGGGTTAAAGGGGGGGATGTCCAGCCTCTCTAGACCTCTCATCTCTCGTTTGTAAAAGGAGGTGGTTTAACTAAGTGGCTGCTAAAATTAAGTAACTGTGGTTTCTGTATTAAAACTAAGTCATACAAAAAAATATCATCACTTATAAAACCAGAAAAAATGAGCTCCTGTTCCTCCAGCAACAAACAGAAAACTCCTCTGCTGGAATACGTGGGGAAGAAAAATAAGGGCTCTTTGAGATCTAAGCTGAATTCAAACGCCTTTTCAATTGTTGTTGTTATGTGCCATCGAGTCTGCCCTGACTCATAGCAACCCCTCCTTGGGTTTCCGAGGCAGTATCACTATGGAAGTAGGATTGCCCAACCTTCCTTCCGAGGAGTGGCTGGTGGGTTTGAACCGCCAGCCTTCTGGTTAGCAGTCAAGTGCCTTAGGCACTACGCCACCAGAGCTCCCTTTTCAATTGGCAACTCAAAATTATGTACAATTCAATAGTATCAATAAAAATGATTAGTGGAAGGAGAGGTCAAATGATTCTGAAAGGAATCAATCCCTTGGGTTCCTTAACTGAGCTCTATCTGTGTGGCTAGAGATTGGTAATCATAACATGCCTTACTCTGGAAAGAGTCCAATATCCCCAGCCCTTACTAAAGGCCAAAGGCAAAGCTAAGAGTTCCAGTAGATATGAATAGAAGTAAAGATGCTAAAACTTACTTTTGCTCTGTTTTCAGGTGGTTCTTTCATTTCATCTTTCCCATCGTGGACATAAAACCCAAGCAGATGCCTGAGGGCAGAGGCCATTTCCTCTTCCTGCACCTGTTCCTGTATCTCAGTGCCTGACTCCATGCTGTTGTTGTTGGTCAGTTGGCTCTGAGTCGTGGCAACCCCATGTACAACAGAAGAAAATGTTACCAAGCCCTGGGTCATCTTCACAATCGCTGGTATGCTCTAGTCCATTGCTGCGGATACTATGTATTATGAGTGCCTTCCAAATAGAGAGCTTATCTTCCAGTACTATAACAGACAATATTCCATTATGATCCACAGGGCTCTCTCATTAGCTAATTTTTAGAAGTAGATCACCAGGGTTTTCTTTCTAGTCTGTCTTATTCTGGAAGTTCTGCTGAAACCTGTCCACCATGAGTAACTCAGCTGGTATTTGAAATACCAATAGCATAGTTTGCAACGTCACAGCCACACACAAGTGACCACAGTATGACAAACTGACAGATGAATGGTGGGCCTGAGTCCATAGAGGAGTGAATTCTGTGTGTTGGTGATTATGGGGGTGTGGCCAACAGGAGGACCTAGCTTAGTGAGGCTAAGCTCTTTACAGAGCAGGATCTTTCACATTCCCCAAGAGCAGATCCAACCAGAAGATAATTCCCTCTGTCACTGCTCTCCTCTGCCTGCCCTAACCTCCATTGTCACCTCTCATCAACTGCTGCTTTACCCTTTATGATCTTTATGACTTTAAATGAGGTCTCCACTCTTCTAGACCTCTGTTTCCTCATCTCCAAAACAGAGATAATAACAGTGCCCAAAATCCCTCTCTTTGATTCACATCCCTTGACTTACATTTCAGCCTCTGGGTGACAGGTACCTTTTTTCTGCATGAAATGCTTAAATTATGGAAAAATATTTATAGACCAAGATTATACCTTTCCTGAGTCATCCCATCTTCAGAAAAATCATTGCCATATTCCTAAACTTTCATTGCTAAGAAATGGTCCCAATTTCTTTCTCTCTCCTTGCCACTTCTTATGGGAGCAATCAAGTCAACAGGTCTCCATACATGAGAGCTTGAGCATGTCATGGGCACAGCTGGCACATTTCTGCTCATGATCCTGTGGTGTGTTAGCTATAGGTAGTTTACAGATTGTAACAGTAATCACCATCCTTTACTGACTTGTTTCCTGTCAGGCATTGTTCTAAGCACTCTACCTGGGTTAATTTGTTCTTCACAAAAAGCCAAGAAGGCAGGCCCTGATTTTTTCTTATTGGATGGATGAGGAAACTGAAGCAGAAAGAGACAGAGAAACAAAAAGCACAAGCTTTGGAGCTAGACAGAATTAAGCCTCAATCCCAAATCCCTCACTGTTGAGCTATGTCACCCTGACTCATTTCCTTACTTGCTTCCACAAGGGCCTGTGGGGACAACATTAAATTTATGGAGCTAAATATGATTCTGTGATCTCACAGAATGTGGAAATTATCAAACAACATCATTAATATCGCATGCAAGTAAAATCTAACTGAAGATAATTCAAAAATAGTTGCAGCAGTATATTGACAGAGAACTTCCAGAAATGCAAGCTGTATTCAGAAGAGGACGTGGAATGAGGGATTTCATTGCTGATGTCAGATGGCTCTCGGTTCAATGCAAAGAATAGCAGAAAGATGTTTACTTGTATTTTATTGATGATGCAAAAGCATTTGATTGTGTGGATCATAACAAATTGTGGATAACATTGAGAAGAATGGCAATTCCAGAACACTTAATTGTACTCATGAGGAACATGTACATAGACCAGGAGGCTGTTGTTCAAACAGAAAAAGGAAACACCGCATGGTTTAAAATCAAGAAGGGAGTGTGTCAGGGTTGTATCCTTTCACCACACTTCTTCAATCTGTATGCTGACCAAATAGGAGCTCTGGTAGCATAGTGCCTAAGGCACTTGACTGCTAACCAGAAGGCTGGCAGTTCAGACCCACCAACCACTCCTCAGAAGGAAGGTTGGGCAATCTACTTCCGTAGTGATACTGCTTCGGAAACCCAAAGAGGGGTTGCTATGAGTCGGGGCTAACTTGAGGGCACATAATAACAAAGCTGAGCAAATAATCCGAGAAGTTGGCCTATATGAAGAAGAATGTGGCATCAGGATTGGAGGAAGAATCATTAACAACCTGCGATATGCTGATGACACATCTTTGCTTGCTTAAAGTGAGGATGACTTAAAGTAATTACTGATGAAGATTGAAGAATACAGTCTGCAGTATGGATTACATCTACATATAAAGAAAACAAAAATCCTCACAACTGGACCTATAAGCAGCATTACAGTAAATGGAGAAAAGATTGAAATTGTCAAAGATTTCACATTGCTTGGTTCTATAATTCACGCCAATGGAAGCAGCAGTCAGGACATCAGATGATGTATATAGCATTGGGCAAATTGATGGTAAAGGACCTCTTTCAAGTGCTGAAGAGCAAAGATGTCTCCTTGAGGGCTAAGGTGCACCTGACACAAGCCATGGTATTTTCAATTGCCTCATATGCATGTAGGAGCTGGACAATGAATAAGGAAGACTGAAGAAGAATTGATGGTTTTGAGCTGTGGTGTTGGTGAAGAATGCTAAAAGTACTGTGGACTGCTAAAAGAAGTAACAGGTCTGTCCTGGAGGAAGTGCTGCAAGAACCCTCCTTGGAGGTGAGAATGGCCAGACTTGGTCTCACATACTTTGTCAGAAGGGACCATTCCTTGAAGAAAGATATCGTGCTTGGTAAGGTGGAGGGTCGACGAAAGAGGGGAAGGCCCTCAATGAGATAGACTGACATGATGGCAGTGGTGGTGGGTTCAAGTATAGCAAGAATCATGGAGCTGGCTCAGGACTGGGTGTTGTTTTGTTCTTTTGCATAGGGTCACTATGAATCGGAGACAACTCGATGGCACCTAACAACATGAACAACAACAAATATGATAATGGCTACCTTACAAAGTGCTTGTCACATCTGAGGTATTTGGTAGGTGCCTATTGAAACTTCTTCATA